ATGTTTCGATCATATTCTTTTTATTTTTAGCATGTCCTCTCATGATAGTATTGGCACATTTAGGGCCAAGTGCTGAGACCTCACATGCAGCCTAACCCCTCTGGTATTAGTCTGTTACTAGGCCATGCACTCTGCTTATTGTTACTTCAGTTTAGCATTATGATAGCTAGGTTTCTGTGCGCTCTAGTCCTATTTTCTGTTACATGCTTACTGGACTGGAATGCAGTCCATGTATTTGCAATTTTCGCAATTTTACATGCCTGAACATGGAGAGGGCATGTCAACGTGATAAACTGACAGAACCTCGCACTTCAGGTTATACTGTCAGAGTCCACTTGTGTGTGTCTAGCATTGTATTATCAAGGTGTTTGCAATTTGCTCAAGATAAGATGGTGAAGTAAAACTTTAGTTTGAGACTGGGGTATTACAGTGAGAACTAAGCTACTTAAATACTGTTCTGTTATCATGCTATAAATAACCATTCACAAAAGATTTTGTCTGTCGTAGAGCTGTTACCCCTGCTGTTGCCAGGCTCTCCACAAAAGCTGTTGTCTTGCTGCAGAGCTGTAGTCGTGCACTGCAGTTTGAGGACAAAAGGAGCATTGTCTCTCCCTTCACAGCACATAGCATTATGATAGGAGAGTGACTGACTGGGGTGCTGAGCTAAGTGTTCCTATGGTCTTCAAGCACTGGTTTAGGCACCCTGACTAAGCAAGGATAGAGGTCATTTCTGAGAAAAAAGAAAAGAAAATAGAAAGAAAATAGAAAGAAAATAGGAAAAATCGTAACAGAAGTGTTCTGGCTTCAGCATGACCACTCTCTCATTGTCTCCTTCTCTCTGATTGTGATCTGCATAGTGACTAAGGAGATCAGCCTTCTTATTAGCTATTTCTGTCTTGTGGTGCAGCATATACTCATATTGGGATAGCTCAGTAACCTAGTGCACTTGTCATCAGTTAAGTTTTTGTGGTGTATAGAAGTATCAGAGGTTTTGATGATTGGTCCATACTTCAAAGGTTTGGGTGGCACTGATCAGATAATGCCACCATTCTTTCAGTGCAAGTATTATGGTGAGTAACTCCTTGTCATATATTTCATAGTTGTGCTCAGTCATGGTTAGAGCCTTGGAAAGGAATATGACTAGTCACCACTTTTTATCTTGTTTCTGGGACAATACTGTTCTGATTGCTCCTTCACTTGAGTCAGCTTCTATCTGGAACTTCTCATTCTGTGTTGGTATGGTGAGGATGACATCCTCTATGAGTTGTCCTTTGAGATCATCAAATGCAGCTTATTGTGAATGCTCTCATGACCAGAGAGCATTTCCAGTTAGCTGTGTCATGAGATATACTATTTTGTTGTAGTCATGAATGAACTATTGATAGAAGTTTGTGAACTCTAAGAAGGACTGTAATTCCTTCTTTTTTGTTGGTTCTGACTATTCTGTTACTCCAGCAACTTTGATCAGATTCATGTGTATACTTCCTTCACTGATAATTACCCTAAGATATTCTGTTTCAAGTACTTTAAACTCACATTTCTTGGCTTTAAGGAAAAGTTTGTGTTTCTGCATAAGCATGAGTACTTGTTGTATGAGTCATTGGTGTTCTGTTCAGTCCTTGGATATGATAAGAATATCATCCAAGTAGATCATGACTTTTCTGATGGTGATGAGATCTTTGAAGATGTCATTCATCATCTATTGAGATGTTGCAGGTGAATTTGTAAGTCCAAAAAATATAACTGTGGGCTTAAAGAGCCTTCAGTTAGTTCTGAATGCCACCTTTCATTCATTGCCTTCCTTGATCCATACATTATTGTACCTCTATTGGACATCTAATTTCATATAGTATTTTGCCCCTCACAGCTTGTCCATTAGTTTGAAAATTAAGAGGAGAGAGTAATGATTTTTGATCATCATCTTATTTAATTTCTGATAGTCCTGAACTAGTTGGAGTTTTTCATCCTTCTTCTTGACAAAAAAGAACAGTGATGCCATTGGTGACTTCAAGGGTCAGATCCTCCTGCTAGACAAGTTTTCATCAAGAAACTTGTCTAGCTCCTGTTGTTTGTGGTTTCCAAGAGGATACATCTTGCAGTCAAGATTGGCATTTGCATTTGGGATGAGCTCAATTGTATAGTCTCAGGGTTTTGGTTTGGGGAGCTCATCAAAACTTTCTTTATTGAATAAATCTTGATAATCACAGGTCCATTCCAGTACTAGCTCCTCAAATGTCTTCTCCTTCTTCTCAGCATTTGCTTTGGCCATCAGGTCATTGGTATGGTGTATGGCCTAGATATGGATCACCTTTTCTAGATTCACAGCAAGGATCATCTCCCCATCTTCCATTTCTTTATCCCACCAGTCTTCTGGATCTTCATCAGGCAATTCAAAAGAAATCTTTTGGCACTTGCACTATGTAAAAGTAATTTGACCAGTCTTTCAGTTGATCAGTAGGTTATGTTGAAT